AACACATATACCACTGAGGCTACTTTTCCTCCATAGGCAGTTACTAAGCCAAACCATACCAGGGACTCGTTTACTTTTTCAGATTTACTGATGTTGGCTCTGAATCCCGTCATCTGTGCCGATGTGGGCTGGCTGCAACAGTCGACGCTGACTTTAGAGTTGCAAACATCTGTGCTTCCTTCAAAATGAGTCCTGTTTCATTCCTTGCCGACTGCCAGTGGCAGAACACAAGGTGGATTTAACTCCTTGAGTTTCACAGGGTTCTAATGTAACGTGACATAGCCCATCTGAGTGTTATGTCTATAAATAACACCTTGGGATCTACGTCCCGTCTCCTGGGATCCTCTCGCTGAGAAGTTCCCGGTGACCGATGTAACCAGCAGTCATCCAGGAATCACAGAACTACAGTTACACTGTAACTTCCTCTCCACGTAGATGGTTTTTAAGGTTTTATACCCTCAGTGGACCAATGCTTGCGATGCTGCTTACAGTATGTGTCAGATTTACAAGTGTTCAAGAAATGGCGAGTACAAAGGTTCCTGCTGTGGACTATCTTATGAAATTAACTGCAGTAATTTTTTTAACACATAAAAATCAATAAATAATGTATTTAACACGTTAAAATCCTGACCATAGTTTGAAATGGTTGCTGCACCTTTGTCTCTTAACTTTTAGGGCTAGCTAACAACATCTGGACTAAAAGTATCTTAAGTTTTCATAGTGCCCAGTGGGTGAGCGGCCTGGGGGTTCTAAATGTCGTGTAGAGGTTTTGCTAACACTGAAAAAAAATGGGACAAATACAAAAAAAAAGAAAATTAAAAAAAATAATGCTGCAAATGAAAAAGAAAGCTGCAGTCACATGAAAAGAGCAGCAAAGTAAAACCATGCAAGAGTAAACCTTGCTGCCAATGAACAAATTATATTAACTCACAAAACACATGCAAACGAAAAAAAAAAAAAAAAAAAAAACTGAAAACTAGCCCCACATAGCTGAAGGCCAAAATCTTTACAGAACCAGCTCAGGGTCAGTCTACACTAATCACACACTACCTCAGGAACATGAATAAGCACAACATCAGAGAGACAGACTAGATTTTTATGAGGCTCTGTTTAATAAATATATGCACATAATACATCTATGCTGTCAAAATTGATCATTTATGGTTCTGCATGATATAAACATCAAATGGGTTGAGAGTGGTTCTATATTTCTAATCGCATAAAAGATGCAAGGATGTATGGCACAGACATAATGTCCCCTTGTCTCAGTAAGAGCATTAATACTTTGTCATCTTTAATGATCAGCTTGGAGAGGTAGAGAACGGATTTGCAGCATAGAACGCAAAACATCAGCATGACTCAGAGGTGATAGGATCTCTGTGATATAAACCACCAGGGAAATTCCTGGTTGCCCGGTATGCCTGTTTACCACTGTATCAACACTGCACTTAAGTCGTTCACTTTATTTACATTTGCGTGTTCCGCATTTCTTCACTTTTGACACTAATAACAGAATATTATTGATCTCGAACATGCAGGTCAGGGGAAACTGATCAATTCAGAGGTTTTTCTGAATGAAATTGTTCTGTGAAACCAGATAAAGCAATCAAAGCAGACATGTACTCTGCGCACTTGGCAAATTAACCTTTTGATCAAAGGATATCTTTGAATTACATTTTCAAACAAGTCTGTGAACTTGAATCCTTATTCAATTTTAGTTCACTTGGCGATGTACGTTTGTATAATGGGGCTACCGTGTGGCCTCAGAAATCAGCACTATATATTAACAGATATATTTTTCCCACTTTTTGTTGGCAAGATGGAGCAAACAAAATATTTGCTGCTGATGCATCAGTCCTTTAATTGTTAAAATGTCTGGCAAGCTTGCAGAACCAAAGAAGAATCTTTTGCAAAATCTCCAGGGTTTGCAGAAAATGTTTTTAAAAGTAAAAATAAAACAAAACAAAACACATATTAGCAGGAAAATTATTAATTATGATAAAGATTCATAAGACAACGTGCCAAGATTGGCCCAAGATATATCTGAAGATAGATTTTCCAAAGCTTTTATGAACCTTACAAATTACTAATGGACACGCTGCCCCATCTCAACTCAGACATTATAAAGTTGGATCAGGTTTGTGCTGTTTTTTTTTTTTTTTTTTTTTTTTTTTTTATATATGCAAGTTTGGTCTTTTAAGGGTGAAGATGGATTCTAAATTAACTCTGAAATCTACAACCACTGCTTAGTAGACTGTCTTCATGCAGTGATCACAAAAAATCTTTGAAGAAGAACAATGATTTAATGAAGAACAAGGCTGACAAGCTATCTTGGTTTTAAATACGACATAATCATTTTATTGTCTCTCTATTCAAATGTTCTTAACCCTATGAAGAGCTTGCAGAGGACAGGGGACTTCTCCTTGAACCCCAGTCGGCCTCGGCAGATTTCCGCTGACACTGAGTCTGGTTCTGCTGAAGGTTTCTTCCTGTTAAAAGGGAGTTTTTCTCCACTGTCGCTACAAGCATGCTTTGTCTGAGGGATTGCTTTTGAGTCAATGAGTCGATGCAATCAGCTCGTTTTCCTTAAATAGAACACTTTTAATCAGTTTGACTGTAGGATCTGGTTGAATTGTCTCTGTAAAGTGCCTTAAGATGACATATGTTAGGAATTTAAGCTATATTAATTATTGATTATGTAAAAAAAAGAAATCAACAAAACACAGTCCAACCCTTTGAAAAGGTGCCTGGCAGATGGGATTACTGTTAAAAAGGCATTGAGCAAAACAGATCAGGAATTCCAAAAAAGTAAAAAAAAAAAACCCACTGGACTTTGTTTTCCAAGTTTAAAGACGTTTCACTTCCCATTTCAGAAAGCTTTCTCAATTAAAAATGTCAGGAATAGCATTGAGTTCCAGGCTTATAAAGTGCCTGAACAAAAGCCTTTTTTTGCTTAGAAAACTTGCAAATTTAATCAAAAACATAGATCCACCCCTTAGTAATGGGGAGTCGTTAGGGTCGTCTGGTTGGCCAGGCTAACCAGGCGAGATGTATTGGTCCCTAACAAAGATCAGAAAACTGACATAGGTCATGAACAAAGAGATGCACTGATCAGTGGCCAATTCTGACCTGCAAAAAAATCTAAACTGTAAGCTTTATTATTAAAAGCATCCAGAATGGATTTGTTCTATTCCTCCCACTGTGAGAAGCTGAACAAATATTGATTACATTAAAAAAAAGGCCAAGAGGTTTATGGAATTCACATTTCAAACTGCCCAACACTTCCCTTCAGTAGTTACAGCTTTTAGCATTGCTGCGTAAATGTGACTTTATTTGTTGTTGTGTTTAATAAAGACCGTTACTTTCTGAGATTTCCATAAAATGTCCAGCATTTCTTAATCAAGCTTCTTTGACTAACGCTGAAAGCTTAAATGTAAAAAAAGAGCAACCGTGCTGTAATATCAGTCTAGCATTCCTATTACCTCCTTAATTATGACTCTCTCTTCAAGCACCAGTTTGAATGAACCACTGACATTAATGAAAATAATGTGCTGAATAGTTTTATTTGAGATGCCTTTCTGCATGCTTCCTTTGAAATTGCTTTATACTTCTGCATTGGATATCAATAATTGCAGATTTGGAGTCACATGTTTACATCTTTGAAACTAAAGAGTTCTTCAATGATGAGAACAACATTTTGTTTTTGAGTTTCCAACCATCTGGTTTCTATTACATGAAGATTTCTGTTAGTCCCGACTTTATCGCTGTAGGTTTAAAACATATCTACATTTCTGTATGTGTGGAAAATGTATTCATTTCCATTAATTTGTTTAACAATAAATGCATTTTAATAGACTTACTTGTTAAATATCACCCAGAAATTAATGGAAGTGCTGTCTGCTCCTGTACCATCAGTGAGTGCTGCTCTTTTAACCTGACCTGCAGGAGCTAAGAGGTTCAATGTCTTCAAAGAATGAATTAATTGTGACGAGAATAAAATGTCATCAGATCGACTTACCTTTGCTTTTTGCAGGACAAATAGGAATGTCTTTTTTTATTGTTTTAAAGATAGATTGTAAAACCTGACATATTTAGATTGGTGCTTCTTTGATGATTCAAGCAACTTGAATGTCATCATTAGATCAACAGGAGCTCTTTCTCATTTTTATGAGGGCTTAATTTATTAATTGATTATTGAACTAACATTAAATATTTTAGTCATAATCAGTAAGTTGACTGTACAAACTGAAAATATGGCATTTGCTGGAAGAACAACCCACATGTCACTATTTACACCACCTACAAGTCCACATGGTATTTCTGAGCATTACATTTAGTTTCTTTTTCTTCCTGATGTTTATAATAATATCAGTGACTGAGTTTAAGTCTAACAAAGTCTGAATGTGTCAAAAGAAATACCCAAAGGCCAGGTAAAGGTTTGCCAGAGAGAATGTTAACAAAGACATCTGTGATAATGCTTTTTGGACAAATTCTAAAATCTAAAATTGGCAGGAGATGTTTGGTATAGACTGAAGTCAGCAATCTAGGACAATAAAGTCCTTACTTGTAAAGTATGGAGGGGGAAGCATCATGGTTTACCGTAGGTTTGTTGAAGCTGCCAAATTGGGAAATATGAGAGCATACTGTATATAAGAAATAAAGAGAGCAAACAGAAGTAAAGCTGAACCCTTCAACATGATGGTTCCCCAAAACATACCAGTAAAGCTCCAAGACTGGGTGACAATTAAGAAACTTAACGCCCTGAAATAGTCAGTGTCCAGATCTCCTTTTCGTTTGAAATATGCTAATATATAAAAATAAGCTTTGCACCACTTTACGTACGATAAATTTCTTAGTTTTATTTGAGATGCCTCCATACATGCTTTTTTTATTTATTTATTTATTTATTTTTTTACAGTTTTTGGTGTATTTTTTTAGGCCACATAGAAATTCTGTATGCAAAGTTTGGGTTTAATTTGTTTTGTGTTGTCTGTCCACAGCTTTGTTTAACCTTATCCCCGTGGGTCTGAGAGTCGTGGCCATCCAATCAGTCAAGACCGGTCTCTACATTGCCATGAACGGAGAGGGTCACCTTTACTCGTCGGTGAGCAGACCAGCGACACAAACACAGACAGTTTTATCAGAATCCGCTGAAGGACAGCATCCATGATCACAGCTGTCGTCTTTAGCCCTGCTTAAAAATCCTGATTCTAGACGTGTTGCAGTCCCCTCAGGGTTGTTAATTAGACACAAATGGAAATAGCGGCCTGCCTTTATCCACTTGGGTAAATTGTTGTCTAGAGGTGCCTTAAGGTGATGCATCTGTTGACTTCAGCTGTGATCAGAAGTGTTGATATTTGGAAACTACCTTTGCTTCCAAAGAGGGGATGTTTATATGCTTCCAAGCACTGCATGTTTATAATGCTTTTTCTTATTGAATATCCAGTTATGTTTCTGACATTGTCCAAGCAAATATGACAGAAAAGTCATTAAGACAAGATGAGGGAAACATGTTTAGTTATTTTATTTAAACAAATATTAATTTCCAAAGTTAGTCTCATCTTTACTAATTCCCAATGATTAAACAGAAATATTCATTCATTAACATGTAATCCCAAACAAACGTGTCTCCAACATATCCAGATGGGTTTTTCCTGGCACACACTGTCCTACAATCACAGAAGTACCTGTTTAAAGTTAGTACTTTTATCTAAAAGGGTATCGGAATAAAACTGAGCCTTTTACCAGCAATCATTTCTGGTTGGTTTGGAGTGAAAATATCAGCAGTCATGAGAAAACTTAAGCATCTGACACCGGTCAGTCTTCCTCTTCGGCAAGCCCAGAATAACTGCAGAAAGCAGCAGACATCCCAACCTTTTTGCCAAGCAAGCACAAAGTTATTAGCCTTTTTTTGTTGTTGGGGGTTTATGTTTAAGATAATTAAATCCGACCAAGGAGGTCTACAGTTTAGTTGACCAACATTTTAAACCTTTTTTAAATGTAAATGATTCTTGTACACGTTCTTCATGACTCAATATAACCTCCAACAACACAAGTAATTATCAAGCATTCAGCTCTAATAAGGCTTTATGTAAGGCTCCTTTATATGTAAAAATTAGCAGGGTACAAAGCAATAAAAAGTGTTTTTTCCCTGCATAGTAGAAGTAGAATTTTCCTTTGAAAGACAATAAATAAACTGTAAAAACTAATAAGAATTGGTTTATGTTTAAATATTTATTTACAGAAACAAATATGAACAAAAATATGATCTAAAACACGATGTTGCTCCATCGGTCATATACGAGTCATTCAGAACCTGCCACTCTCTTCCACTTTTCCCTAAACCTCCTTTTCTGTTTCTTTGTCTCCCCTACTTCATCTCATAGTTAGGTTTTCTTTTTCCTCTGCCCTCCGGGTTTTCTAACACCTTGAATGTGCAACGACATTACCACCCCCACCGCTTCACAGCTGCGTTCTCCACAGGGAACGCCTGTCTAAAGTGACGTCCTTAACGAATGGACCAATGAGCAGTGTTCACAGCTGGAGCCCCTGAAAGTTTTACTGTCGTGATGGTGTTTTAATTTGTTTAAAGTTTCAGAAGACAAAACTTAAATTAAAACATATATTTTGAATTCAAGCCATCAGAGTGGTTAGTATGTGCGCTGTGTATATAACTGTCACAAAAATGCGTTTTTCTAGCGTTGACTCTGACTTATTTCTCCTGTGTGAAAAATGGCAGGTAAATGTGGTAAAAATACTGTATCTGTCAGCTTGTGTGGAGGTTTTTAGAGGACCCAAATGCAAAGATGGAAGCTGAGGTGGTTTCTTGCAGATCTAATTATCCAAAGGGCAAAAGTCCACAAACAAAATACAGAAAAAACAAAATCCAGCAGACGTCAAACATACAAAAACGACGAGGAACCGGCAAACAGTAACTGAAGGGGAGAATATACAGTATGTCAAACAGAACAAATGAACGGATTGGGTGAAGGTGTGGACAGAAGAATCAAGAAGGGAGCTAGGGGAAGGAGACTGACACAAGAGGGTAAACAAGAAATGCATAAGAACTCAAACAAACCAAAAACAACTAGAATAACACAAAATGGAAATAAAACTCAAGAAAACTAAAAAAGAAACCTTAAACAGAACCAAAACCATGACAGCATCCAACTGATAGAATCCCTTTGACAGCATCATATGGACAACTGACGGTGTGACAGTATAAGTTCTGATCGATCTCACTGGATAATTTTTTTATTTTAGATCGATGAGTGGCTTAATTAAAACGTGTGGTGGTATAAAATTATTTGCTTCATTCCAGTTAAGTTTGTCTTTTCAGTTAGTCCCAAGTCTGTCTGGACCATGTTCTACCTGAACATGGTCCAGACAGAGCCTGTCTCAGTAGTCTGTGTAAGTCGTTTTTATTTTAAGACATAACGAACATAATTTTTTTTTAAGTCTGTAAAAATAAAAACCTTGCTTTACTTGTTTTTATTATCAGAAAAAACTGAGATATCTTTGTGGCTGTTTGTGTCCCTAAATGTTAAATAATCATTAAGTCCAAGTGAATTTCACAGCGATTCGTTTCAACTGTCCTTCCTGGGAGCATCTCCCCAAACATGAGCCAACGTAGAAATGGTCAAATAAAAATTACTGAGAAGAGAGAAAGAACAGTATGGAAGGATAGGTTTGACAGCGAGAAAGAGGAGGAGGTGATGAGAAAGCAGAGCAGCGAAGAATAAAGGGTGAGTGAGGTACGGGAGCTGGAGCAGAATATGAATTATTTCCATGCTGACTCTTCAGAAACAGTTCACACTCATCCGCCGATGTCCCTTTCTTCCTGCTTCATCCCTCCTTCCTCCCCCTTCTTTTCTTTTTTTGGGATGAAGATGACAAGAGGGGCAAGAGGTGATGGGATGAGTGGATAGGTGACTGAGGGGATGAGGGAATAGAAAGAGGTTAAATAAGGGAAATGAACACGAGAGCCGAGACTAACAAATGCAAAAAGAAAGGAGAAAGAAAGGGAATAGGATTGTGAGAGAAATAAGGACAAAAAAACAAAATAAATGAAGGAGGAAAGAAAAACATAAACAGACGAGGGAGTTGGAAAAGAACCAGGAAGGATTGAGTGGATGAAACATTGTTTGTAAGGGGATAAGAGGAAGAGAAAATAGTAATTGGGAAGAGGAATAACGGCGCTCTGCTCTGCTCTGCTGGGCTTTCTCAGCCTGTCACTGAAGTCACAGATGCATGAGGGCTTCCTGTAAATAATTGAAGAGGGGGAGTCCCCCCGTTCGCACTCAGTAGAAGTCCCTTCCAAAGCTGCACACAGAGAGGAAAAGTGGGAACGTTTGATCGGGTTCCAACTTGAGGACTGATGTGCTGGCAGCTCCATGATAACGAATGTATAAATCATCAGCGGCAGGTCTAATTCATCCTGATGTCAGCATGGCTTGATGTTTAATTGGCTGCTCCGTAGGTCCTGGCAGGTAAGGATGGTGTGACCAGCCTGTAGAGATGCTCATTAAACGTTAGAAGGGTGCACATCTCAAATGAACTGCAGCTCTGGTTTTGACTTTTTATACTTCATATGAAGTGAACTGCTTGTTTACTGGACACAAATTGGGTTAGTTTTTCCTCCGCCCAAGCTAGGCATAATGGAGGTGACAGGATGTCGATACAGATCAGACCACAGTGCCTTTAACTTCAGAGCAACAAGGATCACTTCTCTGCAGTCTTTTCTGTAAAATGCTGGGTGTTAGAGCACTCATGCATCTCGTTTTCCAGTTAAAAGAAAAAAAATATCAAAAACCAAGGAGTTCGTTTGCAGATGTCAGGACATATTTTTCCTTTTTATTTACATTTCTTTATTTTTCATCTGCTGGTGCGTGTTTTTTGCTTTCATAAAAGTGATGAGCATCCATTTGGTTTGAACCAAAGAAGGAAAAAGATTAGCAATATCAATAATCCAGGGTATAAATACAAAATACGGACGTAAATGTAATCGGCAATGGAACAGAGGTTATCAAAACATGCTGCACTGTGGTAGCACCCGCAACCCTTTTCTGTTTTTCACAATTTAAACTTAAGATTCAAAGAGTTTTATGTAGGTATTGTGTGAGAAGCCCTAAAAGTTTAACAAAATTGTGAAGTGGAGGGAAAAGATACATTTATTTTAATTGATTTTTTTGGAAACAGGTCTGGAAATTCTTGAGTGCCCCTTTTTACTCTGAAGGCCCTTAATGAAATCCGATCCAGTATTTAGGGTGTCTGTTGGCCTACTGGTTAGAGCAGTGCGCTTGTGCTCTGAGAACATTGCAAGTGCCTGGTTCTATCCCCACAGCCTCCACTCTGGGTTCCTGAGCAAGACCCTTAACCCCAAATTGCTCCCTAAGGGCATGGGTTAAATGCATAGGTACATTTCTCCAATGTGAGATCAATAAAGTTAAATTATTATTATATAAAACCTTTTTTTTTCTTTTTAATACAAATGCACAAAAAAATCAATAGATGTCCCCTTCAATATTAGAATTAATCATTAATGTTGGTCTACATTACATGGAATCCACCAAAAGTACATTCAAATCAGAGGTTTTAAGATACATTGAAGTTTTTCTGCACCTAACACTTACAGTAAACCCTTCTCAGTAGTGAGTAAAAAATAAATTTAGAGCCGATTGGTGCTTCTGTTAGCGTAGCCAATTCCCAGATGATTCAGCACCTCCCAGTCTCCCCATAAATGTGTCTCCCCCAATCTGTTAACCCTCCTATAAGTTTATGGTGTTGAAATACTTCAAACCATTTTTTTCAGTACATCAAGGCTCATGTTTCTCAGTCTTCAACACATTTTAGTATCACCCTCAGAGCTCCAGAATCACACACACACCATGTGTTGTAAAATATGCTCTGGGCTACAGCTTATTACTTTTCCATTAGGAATTTATTCTGCTTTTGAACCAAAAATGTCAAACTGAAATCATCTTTCCAGCTTAAAGGAAGAGGGTTTATATTCCTGATAAAGTTTTTGCATCAGAATGTTAGCTTCATATTGATGATGAAATAATACTGCTTTAGGACGAACTCCTTATCGTCTTTTTTTTGACA